AGTAGCGTGCTAGGGGTCGTGCCAGGGTAGGTCACACCAGATCGTCGCAAGGGGCGCGCCAGGGGACGCGCCAGCGCGCCGGGGAACGCCCCACGGTCGGGTGGGGTTGGACTGCGAGGCACTCTACTGCGACAAGCGTTTCGTTCGATACATAGTCAACAACTCTTCATGTCAGACATCCGCCTGGGAGACCTGGACATGTGAAAACAAGCGTCTCGTTCGAGACATCCTCCACACATCCTCATGCTAGACATCCGCCTGGGCGACCTGGACACGTGAAACCAAGCGTCTCGCTCGAGACGTTCTCAACACTTCCTCATGCTAGACATCTGCCTGGGCAACCTGGACGCGTGAACATAAGCGTTTCACTCGAGACATTCTCAACCCATCCTCATGTTAGACATCCGCCTGGGCGACCTGGACGCGTGAAAACAAGCATTTCGCCCAACATATTCTCAACATATCCTCATGCTGGACAACCGCCTGGGCGACCTGGACACGTGAAAGCAAGCGTCTCGCTCGAGAGATCCTCAACACATCTTTATGTTAGACATTCACCTGGGCGACCTGGGCACGTGAAAACATGCGTTTCGCTCGAGACATTCTCAACCCATCCTCATGCTAGACATCCGCCTGGGCGACCTGGACGCGTGAGAACAAGCGTCTCGCTCGAGACATCCTCACCAAGCACCTCATGCTAGACATCTGCCAGGGCAACCTGGACGCGTGAATTCAAGCGTCTCGCGCGAGACACCATTAAGACCTGGGCATGTGAAAACAAGCATTTCATCTGAGACATTCTTCGAATTCTGGTGAACGATCTATACCACAATGAAAAAGCGTGTCGCTCGAGACATCCACTACAAATTATGCAAACCAAGCGTGTCGCTCGAGACATCCGCAACAAACTAACAATTGTATACTTACCATATGTCTGATCGGCCGAAATCGAAAAAAAAAACAGCGTTTCGCTCGAGACATCTTCAACTTGTTGATTCGCCGGCCCCACGCGACCTCGTAATTTATCGCAAAACAAAAGCCGCCGGCCCTACGCAAATTGAAGCCCAGCACTAAGTTTACCTACTCAGAGAGAGCCTAAGCCCTTTTCCGGGAAGACATAAGACGGACAGAGAGCGCGGAGAGGGGGATGGGAGGACGGGAGAAGAAGGAAAGCGGGGGCGAAAGAGGGCGAGTGGAATGGAGAGAGGCGACGAGTCGCGCGTGGGAGGGGGGGCTGGGGAGCAGCGCGAGCAGACAGGGACGGGAGCGGAAGATCGCTGACATAAAGTGCCGCTTCGCTCACTGCCCACTTCGTCAAAGATATCGCCCCGCGGGCCCGCCCGCCGCATCGTCCCCCCCTCCTCTGCCCCCCTCCTCCCCCCTCCTCCTCCTCCTCCTCCTCCTCCTCCTCCTCCTCCTGCTTCTCCTCCTCCTCCTCCTCCTCCTCCCTCCACCTCCTCACTCCTCCTCCTCCTCCTCCTCCTCCTCCTCCTCCTCTTCTCTCCTCCTCCTCCCCCTCCTCCTCCTCCCCTCCCATCCCTCCTCCTCCTCCCCTCCTCTTCTTCCTCCTCCTCCTCCTCCTCCTCCACCTCCTCACTCCTCCTCCCTGTTTTGCGCCGAACGGGCCAAAGCTGCACGGCTGCTGCGCCCATCCCCCCTCGTCCTCCTACCCCCACTCCTCGAACACGGGCGAGGAGGCGCCGCGCGGGAGGCGCAGATCTCTTTTACGCCGCAGCGCGGCAGAGGCAATCCGCACGCGCGTTGGGGCGAGACCAGGACACGGCGTCGCGAGGTGGCCCGCGTGTAAGAGCATGGGAGAAAGACGAGATGGCGGCCGCGGAGGAGGGGAGGGGCCCCAGGACACACAAATGAATACACACAGATAAGGATATTCCCCGTATTTTCCCATATTTTCTGTGTTGTTGTCTTCCCCCCCGCTTCCCATATTTTCCCACATTTTCTGGGAATCGACGGTTCATTGTGTCTGTGTGTGCTTTCCCCTCCTGAAGGAGGGGAGCCGTGCGCGGCGGCACCCTCACGCAGCGGGGCTGCGGCGAGCGCGCGGGGGCGGCCGGCCTGCGGGGCAGCCCCGGAGAGCTGCCGCGGGGCGGCATCGCGATGCCCCCAGGGGCGGGCCAGCAGCCGCAGTGCGGGCGGAGCCCGGCGAAGAAGGAGGACGGGGAGCCGCGGGCGGCCGGAGAGCCGGGGCGCCAGGCACTGGCCATCGCTCGTACGTCCATTCCCTGTGTTTTTGTTCGGTTTCGTGCGTGGTTTTTTCGCAAGATGATCAAGGGTGCTCCTCGATGGTCCTCGCCGAGGAAAAATGCACACGTCCGAGCGATGCCAGGGGGGTGGAGGCAGCGGCGTGTGGGCCGGCGGCGGGCGAGAGGCGTGGTGCGCCGGCGCGGCAGCAGCTGCGAGGGCGGCCCCGAGACGGAGAGGGGCGGGAGGGCCGAGGCCGCTGGGCGGCCGGGCTGCAGGCCGCGGGGGCACGGTGCTGGGGCACAACCTGTGGAGAGAGAGCGCCGTCCCGAAGCCTGTGCACGCGCAGCTCAGGGAGGATCGCAATAGCGCGGCATCGGCGACACATGGTCGGCACATCGCAGGCAGGCCCCCAGTCCCCAGACAGCTGGCTCCTGGGCGGCGCGAGGCATTCGCACCCCGAGGGGCGCCAGTTGGTCCCATGCGTTCAAGACCTGAAGAATGATCTCCTTGCTGCTGGCCGTTTGCTGGAAATGGGTCCTGTGACTTGTGCTGAAGGTTGGTCCGCAGCGCAGTGCGGCTTCTGCACACTGCCATGCCCTGTTTCCTCTAGAAGAAACAACGAAGAAGAAGGAGACGTAAACGATGCTGCATATATAAACATCGACTGTGTGAGGTGCGCGGGAATTTCTTGGATTGGCGTTGCACCCCCCTCCCTTGGTTCGCGGAGCGCATCAGGGGTGGCGCCGAAGGCGCCGCCAGGGTGGCCTGTCGCCGATCCAAAAAGTCCGCGTAGACCTCTGAAAATTCATACTCTTCGCGCACAAACTGACGTTGATTGCGGATCCGTGGATCCGGCAAGTGGGCGGCAGACCCACTGACCTGAGCGAACAATGAAGCCAGCGTCGCCTTATCATTCCCTCTTCTTCTTCCTCCTCTCGCTTTCCGCCCTGGCTTTTTTATGATTGTGTTGGTGCGTGGGCGCGCGCGCCTAACGGCGGGGTCGGGTGGCTGACACCCGCGGCCGCGTCCTGCAGTGCGTGCTGCCGCGCTGGGCGCGGCGGTCGTCCTGCAGCACCGTGCGCTGGCCGGCATGTGTCCGGGGCCATTGCTGATTTTTCGCCATCGTTGCTTCGCGTTGCGCTGATCCCTGATCGGCCAAGTGGCGACGGAATTTGAGCCGCAGGGTTAGCGGCCTCATTGGGTCACCCGCCCGAGGCCTTGTGAGCCCGCGGGCCACTAGAGGTCTCCTTTGGGCAAACCAAAAAGGGTTACCTTGAGACGAAACGCGTCAAATGCTTACGTCAACGGGACCCGTCGATCATCCACGCACCTTAGTGCATGTTTGCGCTTCCTCGGTTTGTGTTGCTGTTATCAACCACGCACCTTAGTGCATCTTTGCGCTTCATCGGTTTATGTTGCTGTTATCAACCACGCACCTTAGTGCATGTTTGCGCTTCCTTCGGACCTTTGTCGAGCTATCATGTGCAATCGCCGCGCTCTCATCGGGAACGCTGCAGCAGGAACGACGTGGCGTTCCTGGCCGCGGTGGGCCCTGGTCACGAACAGGCTCCCCCGACCTTCACCCGAGGAGCGGCCCGAAAACTGGGGCCCATCCCAAGCCAGAAGTGCTCAGTGTTGCAATGCCTTGGCAGTAGTCATTCCCTACCTGACGGAGTGGATCTGGCCGATTTGTTTTTCAAAAAAAGCAGCTCCCGACACGCCTCGCACACCCTGGAAGACCGCGGCCGCCAGGTCCAGAGTGTGCTGGTGCTTTCTGGGTATCCCGACTCGCGTCTTCGACGAGTGACGACTGCACACCACGGCCGCCAGGCCCAACGTGTGCCAGCGCAGTTCTCTGGGTATCCGACCTCGCGTTCTCGGGTGGGGCTCGCTCGACGCAACATGATTTTTTCGTTGAGCTTACTCCCACACGTTCGCAAGCGAAGGGCGGGTGCCGCCCAGCGGGCTGCTTCCTCCACCTCCTCCTCCTCCTCCTCCGCCTCCTCCTCGTCCTCCTCCGCCTCCTCCTCCTCCTCCTCGTCCTCGTCCTCGTCCTCGTCCTCGTCCTCCTCCTCCTCCTCCTCCTCCTCCTCCTCCTCCTCCTTCCCCTCCCCCTCCCACTCCCCCTCCCCTCCCCCTCCCCCTCCCCCTCCTACTCCCACTCACCCTCCCCTCTCCCTCCTCCTCGTCCTCCTCCTCCTCCTCCTCCTCCTCCTCCTCCTCCTCATGCTTCTCCACCTCCTCCACCTCCGCCTCCTCCTCATGCTCCTCCGCCTCCTCCTGCATATCCTCATGTTCATGCCCCCCCTGGCTTGCAACAAACAGATCGCGCCCTAGGATGGCAACAACACGGCCAACAACCGCGCGTTCCAAATAGGAACATGTGATACGCTTTGGAGTGGTCGTCATCCTTCTGTCGAAGAGCAACTACTACACTCGCTTTACTTCCTGTTGGCGACATCCTTGTGTTTCGCTGCATACATGTTCCCAAGTCTACCCAAGTTCTAACCTACGATCGGCTGATCCGGCTGAACACCTCGGTGACGGCGGCGTGCCTTCAGTGCCGGACAGGCGAAAACGGTATCTGAGAACGCACTCATCATAGAGCAAGACTGGAACTGTGACCGTATTACGAAGCTGGCGAGCACCTGCCACCCTATAGCTCGCATCTTCAACATTATCCGATCTCGCGTAATCCGATCCCTTTCCCCAAATCGTTTAAACGACCTACTGCGTGGTCCACTGACTCTCGCCCCACCGACGTCGAAGCCGCACAAGAGAGCCAGCATGCCGGCCTTTCAGAGCCGGATCCCTCATCTTCTGATCCAACAACTTGCAGTACCTGCCCAGAGAGAACGACTGCAAGCGCGCAAACCACTGCAGCACATCATGGAACTCCTGAGATCGGCACGCCTGATGCTGCTCCAGACAGTCACTCGTCTCTGGGGTCTGCCTCGGCAGCGAGACTCGTTTACAAAACCCATCTTGCTTCCAATGGGTTCCACCTCCTACTCCTCCACTTTCCCTCCTCCTTCTCCTCGCTCTGCTCCTAATCGTCCGCCCTCTCCCACTCCTCTCCCACCTTCCGCCTTCCCACCCTACCCATCCCTCTCCTATCCCTCCTTGTCCTCATCTGGGCTGCTGCGATGCAGATGACAAAGAAAAACCCGCTGCCCATAGCATAGCCTGCGCACAGACCTGAGCAGTTCCATGCATAGGCCATGCCAGAGTCTGCGGCGCATGGGCCCATTGGCCCCTCAGACGCCCACCAATAGGCCCCCAGCAGCCCAAACGGCAGGCTGTGCATAGGCCTGCACTGGGCCTACCGATTGGCTACGCATGTGCCCAGGACGGCCCTGGGATGCATGGGCCAGCAGGTCCTGTGAACGGCTGATGGTATACGGAATAAGCCTACAGGCTAGCTGTGCGCAGGCCTGTCGCAGGCCAATCAATCGACAGGCTGTGTGCAGGCCTAGATACAGTAGCCCTTTGCACAGCCCTATGTGCGTACAGTCGGGGCGCTGACCTAAGGAACCCTAAATAAGAAACGAGGCCCCTTTTTCCCACAAGTTGAGCTTCGATTTCCCATCGAAACCCTAAGCAAAACCAAAGGCGAACTGCAAAAGAACTAAGGAACACCGAGCCCCTCCCCAACGAAAAGGGTTCCTTCCTCAGGGCCCCGACTGTAGTGGGCACTCTGGCGCATGAGATGCTGGGCCTACGCACCTCCTGCCAATAGGCCTTCTACAGGCCCACCTACAGGCTACCTATGGACCGATCGTAAGTCCTTAGGTAGGCTATGCAAATACCTCGAGTAGGCATATACGCAGGCTGGGCACAGACCTACAGGAGCCTACAACACGCTATGCGAAAGCTATCGCCAGGATTGTGTATTGGAACTTGGAATATGGTGTGCTCTTTTGTAGTGCGCAGCGACTGCATCTGCACACCTAAACAGAACAACGGTGACGAAAGACCCAACGCAAGAAACACAATCCTGAACATCAAGTTGGTTTCTGTCTCAATCCTTTAGACCAGGGTCTGCAACAACGTAGTTCTGGCACAAAGGCGTTTCCACCCAAAGGGTCTTTCTTCGCAAGGGAGGCTCCATTAGCGAGGGTCTTTTATAGCCTGGGGCTTTCTAACCCAGTAGAGTTACTGAACCTGGGCTTCCTTGACCACGGTGAGGAACCCTTCACCCAAAATCAGGCCATAGCCCCAAATGCAACCGCGGAAGAAACTCGGGACACCCTGCCTGCTGCAATGCCTCAGCTCGCCGACCGAACCCGCCACTCTGCGCGCACGCCGAAGCAGTCCGAAGTGACCTGCCGAAAAATAATATATGGTGGCGGCCCTTCCACCTGTTAAGCCTCCTCATCCTCCTCCTCCTCCACAACACGTAGTCCGACCCAACGGACCCAGCTCTGCGAGCCCTTGGGAACGGCTGCCGCGGCGCTGCGCTCCGACTTGCCGCGGCCCCGGCGCCATGTCCGCGACGTCGGGTCCGGCGCTCGTCTGTCGCACCCACGCTGTCTTCCTCCGCCCTTCCCGTCAAGAGCGCCGCGCCGCAGCTGTCCGCGTTGCTTCGAAAGCGGGGCCCGCTGCGCACTGGTTCTGTGGCACGAGGGGCAGAGTCAGGCTCGGGAGGTAAGCACCGAGCTGGCGTCGGCGATACATGGCCGATGAATCGGTGATGGGCCTCCGAGAGCGAGGCCATGCGTTCCCGGGCGGGGTTGGCCATCGGGCCCCGATTGCTGACGAGCGGGCGATCGCGGGTCGATGCGTCCTCCCCCGAGCCCAAGCACGCTCCAACGCTGCCTCGGAGTGCAGGGGCTGCGGTGCGGGCCAAGATACAGACCTCGTGCCAGAAGCGTGCGTGCGTGCATGCGCGCGCGTCGCAGTGGGCGCATCCCATCGCGCGATTGAGTCCACGGCGCCACGAAGCGAAAATGTGTTCGCGTGTGTGTGTGTGTGCGTGTGTGTGTGTGTGTGTGTGTGTGTATCTGTGTGTGTGCGTGCGTGCGTGCGTGCGTGCGTGCGTGCGTGTGTGTGTGTGTGTGTGGGTGGGTGGATGGGTGCGTACATGTGAGCTTCGCCCACGCTGCCGCACGGCGTGGCCAACTCCCGTTGTGCGTGCCCCGCCCCAGCAGCGATTGAACCGTCGACTGCAGCCACCCGGCGTGACGTCGCGTGCACGTGTGCGCGTACGCGTGTGCGTGTGCATTTGAAGGGGCCCCAGGACACACAAATAAATATACAAATGACAGGATTCCCCATATTTTCCAGTATTTTCTCTGTTTTTGTCTTCTCCCCCACCTCCCATATTTTCTAATATCTTCCTGGGAATCGACGGTTAATTGTGTCTGTGTGTTTTTTCCCCTCCTGATCTCCTGCCCACAGGGCTCCGCTGCTCTCTGCTTCCTCGCCCTCTCTGCAGGGCGCCGCCGCCGCAGGCCGCCCACGGCGCCTCTCGCGCACGACCGCACCGACCTCCTGCCTCCTCCGAGCCCGAGGGTCCCTCCCCTCCCCCCTTCCTGCCCCCCCTCGCGAGCGCCCCCTCGCGAGTGATCCCGTCGATCCCTTAGGGGCGGATCCGGTGCCTCCACGCCGCGTGACCTGGGCCGGCCCGCGAGCGCCTCTCGCTCGACGCGCACCGCTGCGCGCGTGGCCGCGACGCCGAGAAGCGTGCGTGTGTGGGCGCGTTTCTTTGTTTTCGCTCGCAGGCGCCTTGAGCGCTCGGCCGCTCTGGACGCGCGTGCGCGCCTGCTTCTCTGACGTTTCTCCGCCCTGTCGCTGCGCGCGGGGCCACGACGCCAAGAAGCGCCGATGCATCGACGGTGCATCGAGGATGCGTCGACGACGTCGGCGGCGCATCGGCGACGACGGCGTGGAAAAGATCGGGCTCCCCATCGACCGGACCGCATCGCCGATGCATCGGCTGCTCTGCGCGATTCTCCGACCCTATCTACTCCGACCCCATCTAGGGTGCCTAGTGTGTGTGTGTGTGGTGTGTGGTGTGTGGTGTGTGGTGTGTGGTGTGTGGTGTGTGTTGTGTGTTGTGTGTTGTGTGTTGTGTGTTGTGTGTTGTGTGTTGTGTGTTGTGTGTTGTGTGTTGTGTGTTGTGTGTTGTGTGTTGTGTGTTGTGTGTTGTGTGTTGTGTGTTGTGTGTTGTGTGTTGTGTGTTGTGTGTTGTGTGTTGTGTGTTGTGTGTTGTGTGTTGTGTGTTGTGTGTTGTGTGTTGTGTGTTGTGTGTTGTGTGTTGTGTGTTGTGTGTTGTGTGTTGTGTGTTGTGTGTTGTGTGTGTGTTGTGTGTTGTGTGTTGTGTGTTGTGTGTTGTGTGTTGTGTGTTGTGTGTGTGTGTGTTGTGTGTTGTGTGTGTGTGTGTGTGTGTGTTGTGTGTGTTGTGTGTTGTGTGTTGTGTGTTGTGTGTTGTGTGTTGTGTGTTGTGTGTTGTGTGTTGTGTGTTGTGTGTTGTGTGTTGTGTGTTGTGTGTTGTGTGTTGTGTGTTGTGTGTTGTGTGTTGTGTGTTGTGTGTTGTGTGTTGTGTGTTGTGTGTTGTGTGTTGTGTGTTGTGTGTGCGTGTGTGCGTATGCGCGTGCGTGTGCGTGTGCGTGCGCGTGCGCGTGCGCGTGCGCGTGCGCGTGCGAGTGCGAGTGCGAGTGCGTGTGCGTGTGCGTGAGTGCGTGCGTGCGTATTTGTGCGTCGCACTGTCGAAGGCGCACGTCCAGCCACCATGAGCAACTCGCCGAAACATGCACAGTCAATCCGGCGTGCGTGCGCGCGTGCGTGCGCGCGCGTGTGCGTGTGCGCGGGCGCCCGGCCGGGCTGCGCCGCTGCCACGCGCGTCCACTCTGGCACGCCGCCCAGCTCTTGTTCCCCGTCTCCGCCCCGGCCTCTCTCGCCACTGCTCGGCTGCCCACTCCTCGTGCGTTTTCGACCTCGTGCGTGTACCTGTTTGCCGGATGATCCAAGATGCTGCTCGACGATCCTCGCTGAGGAGAGCGTTTATGCACACGTCCGAGGGCTGCCCAGCCCTCTGGCACAGACACTTGGCGCCCGCATTCGCCCCACTGCTGTCCCTTCACTGTGACTGCGCCTCTGCTACTGCACCTACATATCGGCTGCCGTTCAGCATCTCGCCGTCTCCGCCCCCTCCTCTCTGGCACAGGCGCTTGGCGCCCGTATTCGCCTCACTACGGTTCCCACATGTGTTTTTGTTTTTGCGTGGAGGGAGGAGCGGAGGACGACCACGAACTCCTCCGAATGCCAGGTGCTGCATGCGCCAGTCGGAGCGGACAAATCCTGCACCCCCTGGGCAGACAGAAGCCAGCAAAAGGAGCTACCCAGGACAATCATTGCCCGGGCGAGCGCGCGACGAGGAGGACGAGGAGGAGGGACACGAGGGAGAAGAGGAGGAAGGCGAGGCCGAGGGGGAGATCAGCGACGAACCCAAAGCGCAGAGACGACAGCGCGGGAGGAAGGGAACGAGAGGGGAGGCGACTGACTACCTACCAGACCACCCCAACCCAACCCGAAGACCCGAATTTGACCCGAATTTCGAGTTGGGGGGGGGTACGGATTCCATGTGTTTTTTTCACGTTCCCCGACCCCCCCCCCCACTAGAAATGGAGGGCAAATCGAGGGCTTCGGGTTGGGTTGGGGTGGTTGTTTGGTGGGTGGTGAGCGACAGGCCGACGAGACCAAACGAGGAGAGGCAGACGGCAAGAGAAGACGCCACCCTGCCCTCGGCGACGCCGCCGAGGCGACCGGCACCTCGTCTGACCCGCGCCTCCGCTTTTTTTGCGCCAGCTGGCTGGCCAGCCCCACACATGCTCCAGCGCCTCTTTCCCCTCGGGGCTCGAGCCTGCACACGCTCCCAGACTAGGTGGATCGGGAGCGGCCAAGAGGGGGGTGTCCAAGGGGGGGGGGGTGCAAATCATGACCTGCGGCATGTGCGCGGCCCAGCGGGGGGGCCAGGGACGTAATGAAATAAGAAGAGGCGCCATGAAGTCTGAGAAAAAATCATGGCCCGCGCCATGAAATCCCCCCCCCCCCCTAGTCATCACCCCCCTCTTTTCCGCTCCCGAGTGGACGAGCGCACACACAGCTGACGGGATCCGCAGCACCTGCTGCGACGACTGCACCCCACCGCCGCGTCGGAAGACAGGCTCATTTGTGTGTACGCTCGTGCGCGCTGCTTTCATCTGTGGGCGGCGAGCGGAGGGGGGGAAGTGAGAAGGAAAAGGCCTTCTCAGAAGGCTCGGAAACCCCCGGCCTTCTGAGCAGCGTTCTAAACCTTCCCCGGAGACAGAACAAAACTTCTCAGAGGGCGCCAGGGCTTCCGAGAAGTCCCGCCGCCTTCTGAGAAGGCCTTCTCCTTCCCATTTCCTCCCCTCGCTCGCCGCCGGGTTTCTTATCGTCGCTCACGTTGTGAAAGCATCGCGATGCCGGAGTTCTGGGGAGGAGGAGGAGGAGAAGGAAAACTAGAGGGCGCGAGAGCTTCTGAGAGGTCCCGCCGCCTTCTGGGAAGGCCCTGTCCTTCTCGATCCCCCCCCTCGCTCGCCGCCGGATCTACCTCCCACTGCGCCCCTTTCGCCATCCGTCCTCCCTCCCCTCCTGCGCGCCCCAGCGCCGCGGCGCCCCCCCCCGGCGATCCACGGTGCACCTCTGCGCGGGCAGGGCCCCGCAGTGCACCCCCCCCCCGCCCCAACGAAGAGCATTCCTCCTGCCAGCAAGAGCCTGTCTTTGTTTAAGACTCAGGCGAGTTTACCTGCATGGCGTTCCCCCCCCCCCCCCCCCCCCCTGCCCCTTCGCCCCTCTTTAGACGAATACGGGCGTGCAAGTGCCTTTCGATCTGCGTGATTTCCGCATGTGCAAGTCGCTTGCGGCTTGCTTCAAGCATTTGAGCCCCCCCCCGTCCATGCAAGTAAAAACTTGCCGGGGCCTCCGAAGAAAAACAGACTCCAGTCGCAGACGCCTCGCGAGGGCACCTGTACGTGCAGCCTAAGTTCAGCGGCCCGAAGTCCGCGAAGAAGGGCTCGTACACAAAAGAGGAGTCGGTGCAAAAATAATGAGACCTGCGGCGGCCGCCGCGGCGCGCTCACGGCAACTCAGAGGGAAAAACACACACACACACACACAAAAAAAACGCACACACGCACACACACACACATACACAAAAACACACACACACACCCACACACACGTGGGGACAAAAACCACCACACACAACAAAAAACACACACAGAGTCTTCTCAGCACGTGTTGTGTGTGTGTTTGTGTGTTTTTCCCACGGTGCACAAATAGTGAGACCTGCGGCGGCGCGCTCGCGGCGCGCCTCGCGGCAACTCGGACAGCGCGTGCGCCACGCTCGGGCCGCTGGCTGACCGAGGCCAAAATTGCTTTCAACTGCTCCCCAAACTGCCGGTGGGAAAAGAACACACAAACACACACACACACACACACAAACACACACACACACACACACACACGTGGGGAAAAAACGCAACAGTCTGTCGAAAAAACACAGAAACACTGTGTTGTGGGACAAAAAACACGATGTGTGTTTTTCCCACTAAGTGTGTGTTGTTGTGCTTTTCCCACGAATGGCCCGCCACCGTGCCTTCAGCAAAGAGTGGAGTGCCCCAAGGCCCAAGGTTCATGCGGCCCTGAGAAGTTCAGAGTCGTAAGGTAGGCCCGGGCCACGAATTTCATGAGATTTCTGGCGATTCCCGAAGATTTCTGGGGATCCCCTAGGATTCCCGTGGATTCCCGGGATTTCCAGGGATTCCCCAGGCGTGTCGCGCGCGTGTCATTCGGTCGCGCAACTGGCCTGACATGGACCCGAAAATCGCTGAAGGAGGCCGAAGATGCCTCCGAGAAGGCCCAAGAGTCGCCCAGGATGGCTTCAACACGGCCCAGGAGGACCCCAACACGTCCCAAGGGTGCTCCAAGGGGCGTCCCAAGAAGGCCCCAAGAGGCAGAAGTCATTGGTTTGCCTTCACATTCTCGCCCTTTCGGCTCTCAGACCCACGAGACCCCCAGGATCGCCGAAAGACCGCCCCGCAGGGCCCCAAGAGGGCCCTAAGACGGCGGACGGGGGCCCCAAGATGGCCCAAGAGGCGCCCAAGACGGCCCAAGGGGCCAAAGACGGCCCCAAGAGGGGGCCCAGATAATTATGGGGAACCCGAATGGACATTTCGCGCACTCGACCCGAGTGGCCCCCAGGAGGCCCCAAGAGGCTCCCAAGAGGCCTTAAAATTGTTCCCAAGAGGCCCCCGAGAGCGCTCCGACGAGACCCGAAAACATCCCTGAGAACCATGACCCACGACCCAGGCACAGTGGTGGGATTGGCCAAAGGCCAGGCCATTGTCTGGCTATCTCTCTCTCTGTCTCACTCTCTTTCTCGCTCTCTCTCTCTCTCTCTCTCCCTCTCTGTCGCTCTCTCTCTCTCTCTCTCACTCTCTCTCACTCTCTCTCTATATATATGTATACATATCGCTGACCTGGCACAACTCAAGCTGTATGACCGCATCAGCACCCGCACGACTCTATGCTGACTCTGTTAGCTCGCGCTCGTGCTGGTCGCATCACGAGCCAAAAGAAAAGAGACCGCGAAGCAGATCCGCGACCCCAATCGGAAGGGGTGAAGGCCGATGCTGCACTGTGCAGCGCTGTACCGCCCAGGCCGAAGAGGCGACCCCAAAATACAGAATGTAAGTGCCGACTGGGCCGCCTGGGTCCAGGGCTCTCCGGGACGGCCCAACAGGGCCCGAGAAGGCCCCAATAAGGCTCCAAGAGGTCACGCAGAGGCCCCCCACACAGCCAAAGACGGCCCGAGATGGCCACAAGACGGCCCAATAGGCACTCTCGACGGTTCGATAAGAGGACCTCCAAGGCCACCAGACGCCCCCAACATCGAGCCCAAGGGGGCCTCAAAATGGCCCCGGGATGCCACCAGGGTCGCCCAGGATTGCTGCCCAGCCAGGGCCCCGAGATTGCCCAGAAAGCGCCGCCGTTCTCCCTCCTCTCTCCTCCTCCCGCCTTCCAGGAGAGCCCAGAATCGAATCGATAAGTCGGAGCCCAAGTCGGAATCTCAAGTCGAATCGAATCGGAATCGGAAGCCATCGAAATCGAATCGAATCGAATCGGAATCGGAATCGGAAGCCATCGGAATCGGAAGCCTGGCCTTCCCCTGGCCCCTCCATCTCTTGTTCTTCCCTCCCCGCCTCCCCCCCTTCCCCTCGCGCCCAGAAAGCGAGGACCGCACCTGGAACAAGAGAAGGCACGACGTGGCCCTGTGGAAGCCCCTGCTGGACCCGGGAAGCCTCGAGGGAAGCGGCCCCAAGAGGACCCACAGGCTTTTCCGACCCGACGGCGGTGCGAAAAGGGAGGACCGGGAACAGGGGAGGGAGGCGGAATAACAGGCGGCGGATGGGGGCGGGGGAGGTCGAGGGGCGGGGTGCAGTCCGTCCGCCTCAGTGCTGCAGCTGTGCTAGAAAAGCCCCTCCTCCTTGCGAGTTATGCTCCCGCCCTGGATCCTAGCTCCCCGGAGGTCCCCGGAGGTCCATGGAAGGCCCTGGAGGCCTCCAAAGGCCTCAGGGAGGCCTCCGAAGGGCCAATAAAACGTTTGACCTCCCCCCCACCCTCGAGAGGGCCGCGGGCAACATTTGGCACCTCCTCCCCAGAACTCCGGCATCGCGATACTTTCACAACGTGAGCGAAGATAGGAAACGCGGCGGCGAGCGAGGGGGGGAAATGGGAAGGAGAAGGCCTTCTCAGAAGGCGGCTGGAATTCTCAGAAGCCCTCGCACCTTCTCAGAAGTTGTTGTGTGTCTTTGGGAAAGGCCTAAAACACTTCTCTGAAGGACGGAGGACTTCCGAATCGTCTGAGAAAGCCTTCTCCTTCTCACTCTCCCCCTCGCTCGGGTCTTGCGCGGGATGACGCAGCGACCGTACGCAGTGGCTTACGCGGGCCGCCATCGTGACACGCCACATTGGGAACGAGGGCGCCTGCGCACGACCTTGTGCGGGCAGCTAGCGCGCCAATGTCGGCGCAGACGCACTGGTGGAAAGACGGCCGTTTCTAGGGCCCACTTTATGATGTCCCCATCGTACGCAAGGACCACATCCCAGAAATAATTTTGAGTCTCAGACAGTGTCTACCCAACAGGCTAGCGAAGTGTCGAACGAGTATCGCCTCCCAGGGCCCGACACGTGAACACCTCAAAAGTTGGTACGTTCTTGGCGCTCGATTTTTTCCTTCTGATCTAGGCCAAAGAAAGCTGGAACATCGTGAAGCCCGCTGAGGCCTGGACCACTTCCCCAGGACCCGCTCTGCATCCTGCGTAGTCTCTTGACGGCCGCAGGGCCCCGGAAGGACTCCTGGAGGCCGGAGGAGGAGGAGGAGGGAGGAGGGAGGAGGAGGAGGAGGAGGAGGAGGAGGAGGAGGAGGAGGAGGAGGAGGAGAAGGAGGAGGAGGAGGAGGAGGAGGGAGGAGGAGGGGGGAGGAGGAGGAGGAGGAGGAGGAGGAGGCCGGAATAACTAGTGGACAGACATGTCCGCCGTGCCTGTCCGTCACGGAGGGGCGCGGCCGCCCTGGCGGAGGACGGGGACCCCGCCGCTGGCGCTGCGGACGCTGCCGTCGACGGGGCAGGAGACCCCAGGAGGGAAGCGATGAGTCGGATCGGCGATCGAAACGAGTCGAATCGGCGGAAATCGGCAGGCTGGTAGGCCTGCAAGGAAACATCGGAGCCGCAATCGGAATCCGAAATGGAGTCGAAGCGGGATCTGGAGCCACCGGAATAGAACCGAATCGCATCGGATGAATCGAAGTGAGCCCTGCGGAGTGGTGGAGGTGCGCACGTGCCTGGGTCACCAGGCTGAGAGGCATGGGCCGAATCGCCCTTCTCGTTCGTGGAGTTTTCTCTACGGGACGTGAAAACGACCACAGCCACTGCTTTTCTTTTGTTGCCGCCCTCCAGCCAGCAGAAACAAAGCAGTGGTTGTGGTCATTTTCGGCCGGCTGGAAGCCGGCGCAAACAAGAAGCAGTGGCTGTGGTCATTTTCCCGTCCCGCATTCTCGGCTCGTGACGGCCAGAACCCCAAAAATCACGGACAGAGAGTGCCGCGGGCATTCGCACAGTTGCCGCCTCCGCTCGGGCCAGCGTGGCGGTCCCACAACGCGCGGGCTGTGCACCTCCGCTCTGGCAAGACGTCTGTTACCAGCCTGGAACATATCCCTATCCCTATGCTGGGCACCTCCTCATCACGATGCCAATCTTAGGGATTCCCTTATTTTTTGGGGGCGAATCCCCGAGATTGCCATCGCCTTTTGGCATGCCAATCTTAGGGATAGGGAAACGTTCGAGGCTGGTAAGTCCGAGGCCGAGCGATGCGCATGGCCACCCCCCCCCGAGCAAGAGCAGGGCCCTCCTCCCCTCGGCCCTCCTCGCCCTCCCTGCCTGGAGAGCGCAGGCGGTCAGGGCCCCGGCCTCGCCGTGTTCTCGGGCATCTGGTTGCCATGCAGGGTCACCCAATACAGGCCTGGGTGCCGGCCCCCTCCTCCTCCGCCTCCGCCTCCGCCTCCTCCTCCTGGTGTCCCTCCTCCTCCTCCGCCTCCTCCTCCTCCGCCTCCTCCTCCTCCGCCTCCTCCTCCGCCTCCTCCGCCTCCGCCTCCTCCTCCGCCTCGGCCTCCTCCTCCTCCTCCTCCTGGTGTCCCGCACAAGATTGGCAACCGATTCGAGGATGGAGGGCGGCCAGCTCTCAAAATCCGGCTCTCGCCTTGGCGCCGCGAACACTCGAGCCTCAAGGATGAGGACGGCTCCTTCTTCGGGACGTGAATCTCGTGTGACCGCCGCGCTGTGCCGCAATGTCCAAGGATTAGTACAGTTGAAGCCTTAGTCAGAGATCTGGCACGAATTAGGACTGTCAGGACGCAAATATAATCTGGATTCGCAGAGTTGATTTTCCGGGAGAGGCGTCCTGGCACGATTCAAGGCTGTCAGGACGCAACGGTGCATGGTATTTTGGCACGACTGTGAATTCGTGAACCACTGTCCTCCACTTTGGGGCACTTCCCGCAATGGAAATGAAAGCATGGAAGGGGCTATGAGGGATTCTGGACTGAGGATTTTAATCATCGTCGTTGCGCCTTGGGTTCACACTGGTTGGACCTCGCTGGTTGGTCCTACTCTTCCTCCTCCTCCTCCATCTCCGTCTCACTAACGCGAAGGGGCCCAAGGACACACAAACAAATTTACAGAACTCCCAGGATTCCCCATATTTTCAATATTTCCTGGAATTCCGTCTTCCGCTCCACTTCCCATATTTCATAAGTCGACGGTGATTCTTGTCTGTGTGATTTTCCTCTTGATTACGCACGGCTGCGACAGCAGCCTCCCCCTAGGGTCCACGACCTGAAAGCGCAGCCGATGGCACCGCACAATTTGCGAGGTCGGTCTTCCCGCTCCATTGCCAGCCTTTCTCGTGCGCGCTGGCCATTCCCTGTAGCCAGTGGTGTACATCTGTTTTGAGACTGTGCAAATGCTGGCTCCTGCCGCCCACGCTCCATCGGCGCAGGTGTCGTACACTGGCGCTGGACCACACTTTGACAGAGATCCTCCAGCACACGAGCTCCGTCTCGGCGAGGGTGACATTGCCATTGTGGGCCTTCGCTCCTGAAGATAAGCGCGGACACCTGTACCCCAGCGACCTGACGTGGTCGGCGCCGTCCCCGGTGTACACCCTGCAGATTACATACGACCCCCGCCTGCTTCATGGGATACTTCAGGACTCGCCAATCCCCTTCGTAGGAGATGCTTCCGACGTATATAGGTAAATTCTCTCACTGGACTTGTCGGGTTTCGTGCCACCCCCCTTGTCCACCTCGTCGCCGTCGGCCAGCTCCTCCTCCATCACGTCTCCCTTGCCAGCGTCGCCGCCCGTTCCGTGGCCGCCATTGCCCCTGCCGCCCTGGCCACCGCCGCAGTAGGTGCAGCCATCCTTCGATGCGCAGTACTCCTGCTCTTTCTCAGGCTCTTCGTCGCTGTCCTCGTGCCCCTCGCCGCCGTCACCGATGTCGTTCGTCTCATCATTTCTTCTGTCCCTGGATCCAACACGCGGTGCCCAACTGGCCCCTAGGATATTCTGGATTCCCCGTCTGTCTGCCAGCCAAAGCCTGATTAGGGACCAATGGCCTGCCTTGGCCGCCTCCTCGCAGGCGCACATGGCGTCCTTACGTCCTCGGCGCCGCCGTCCTTAGCCAGTAGGTGATCTGCTCGGCGCTGGCGTTTTCGATCGCCTCTCGGAGGGTATCAAGATTTCCGCCTTGGTCCAGTTGTTCCCGCACGCGGTCCTCCATTTATGTACCTGATGACGTCACCTGTCCAGCTCCTGCCGCCACTGCCTGAAGGCGGACTCCGCTCAGACGGCGCACACGTTTCCGCCCTGGCCCCTCCTTGCTAGGGTGCTCGCGTAATGGGCCTGGCTTTGCCTCCACTACCCTGGTCCCCGCATGGGGGCGGGGGTCGTGGGACGGGCCCTGCTTGGTTTCACCAACTTTGGGGAAACCGAAAGGCACCGATACTGCTACTCCCCGGACCTTTCCTGGGGTGCGTTCTGACCAGGATTTCGAAGCGAATCCAGCGGTGGGGACGAGGCTCCCAGAAGGCAGAAACGGGGGAAAACGGGCGAGGGGGTAGAGGTATGGGTATCTTGTCCTCCTCCGAAACTTGTTGTAAGGACCTGCCCCAGCTCATAACTGAAGAGATACCAGCCCCACTGCACGCCAGCGCCGGCTTATCTCGCGCATGTTGTTCTTTATTGCAATAGCGGCGGAACCGAAAAGTCAATGCTGGGCCTCCGCGCCGTGCTGCGAGTCTTAGGTCATCCTGGCGGTGGCCAGGGCTTGCCTGCAAAGACGCGACAAAAAAGGTGATCCCCCCCTGTGGTTGGCCCTATTGCTCCCTCCTCCATCCTCCACAGTCCTCCTCTTCCTCCAGGCGAAGCCAGGACGAGGACAAATCGAGAATTTCTGAGATCAGGCGGCTCTGGAGGATGTCTCGGGCGCCGCGGCCTTCTCAGAGCGTTCGTTCCAGAACGCTCTGAGAGCGCTCCGGAACGCTCTGGAACAGATCTTTATCATCCTCGTCCCAGCCGCATCCGATTCCTCCTCGACGCACACATGACTCCTCTTCCTCATCCTGCCCTCGGTCGGCCCGCCCGCCTCCCTTCCCAGACCCCCGACGTCATGACTTTTGTTCGTAACGTCGACCCCGCGAGGTTTCGCCCCACGCCCTGGTACGGGATCCTCGTCCGGAGTGGTTTTGTTGACGGCCCCGAGGGCCAGGAAGGGCCCCCGGAGGCCAAAAGCAGCGAAAAACCTGCCGTCGTGAGTTTCTCGTGACTCGAGGGGGCCTGGGCTCTCCGCTCCGCCACGCTGGCCGCTCGGGCGCGGGCGGCCCGCCATCAGCATCAGCATCCCCCTCCCCTCTCCGGAAGAAGAACAGACGCTATCAGCCTCAAAGTTTGGCGCTCCGCGCGGATTTCTTGGATCTGGCCTGGAGCCCCCTCCCCGGCGCGCGGAGCGCGGCGCTGGGGGTCCCCGCGCGGATCCAAGAGATCCGCGCGATTCTCCGCTCCGCCACGCTGGCCGCTTGGGCGCGGGCGCTGGGGGATGAGCTCCACGGCATCGAACAGGTCCCTGTCGACCTCCGCGGTGCGCGCCCCCCCGGGCGCGACGGCTCCCGTCCCCCTGCGGCGGGCCCCCCGGCACCCGCCGCCTCGCGGAGGGAGGAGGAGCTAGGAGGAGGAGGAGGAGGAGGAGGAGGAGGAGGAGGAGGAGGAGGAGGAGGAGCTTCGTCCTCCTCCTGCTCCCTCGTCCTCCCCGTTGCGCTTGACCCCCTCAAGCGCCGATCCTGCGTCGCCCTCCTCTTGCCCCCTCGTCCTTCTTGGGCCTCCTGCTGCATTCTTTTCGTCCTCGCCGTGCTCCGCCTGCCTCCTCGGCCTTCTCCTCCTCCTCGCCCCCCTCCTGCGTCGATCGGGCACGCGCGGACATGGACTGGGGACCCGCGGCTCTCGCGCGTGGGCGCCAGATCGCGCCGGCTCCACACGCAGAGGAAGGGGCCCCCCGAGAGATGACGCCGGTGCCGCGCCGCCTCGTTTGGCGATGGGGGCGCGCCGATGCGGCATGGAGAGGGGACGGGTCGCTGACCCAAGCGACTCTCTGCTTGCGCGGTGTGCCCGAGTCGGCTTCCTGAGGCTTCCCAGCTGGGGCCCGAGCGGCTGGGGTCGCAGGATCGCGCTGCATCGTCGATGCATCACCGATGCATCGGCGACGTCGGCGTGGAGAAAGTGGGATCCACATCGAGCAGGATCGCCGACGCATCGGACACGCGGCGCGGTGCTCCCCGACCCCGTCTGCTCGGGCCCCCCTCCCCTCTTCTTCAGACGCCCGCCCCTCCTCGTCCCTCTCGCTCTGCCTCCATCTCCTCCTCCCCCTCCTCGCTCTCCCTCCTTCTCGCTCTCCCTCCTTCTCCTCCTCTCGTCCTCCCTCTCGCTCCCCCTCCTTCTCCTCTTCCCCCCTTGTCCCTCCTCCTCTGCCCTCCTCGCCCAAGCAAGGGAGGAGGGAGAGGGGCAGGGGGGTGGTAGGGTGGGGATCCAGGTCACGACGGCGCAGGTAGGGCGACAACCCGACGTTCGCCGACGAACGAGAACTGGGAGTGGGCGGCCTGGCAAGGCTCTGGCGGGTGAGTGGGAAAAGTCTGCTGCTCTCCGTGGAGCATTATGTCTTACGCATGTGATGCAGATCGGCTCCCTGCGGGGGTGGGCTGGCATCCACCGAGTGGAATGAAGCGAAGAGGAGAAGAGGAGGCAGGGACGCGAATGGGGAATGGGAGGAGAAGCCTGCCGAATCGCTGGTGGTCTTAGCTCGTCGCAGGCGCAAGCCTGGGCTTCCGACGCCCGACGAGATCCTCGACCCCGTCGAGGTGGAAGACCTTCACCACCTCGATCCCATCACGGCGGCCACCGAGCACGCTGACACGCGGACGACAATGCTTCCCGCTCGACCATAAGCAAGCCGCGCCAGGCCGAAACTCTGCCGCTTTCGGCTGCTCTTGGCCGAATGACCAAACAACGTGACTGCCCATGTTGGACACAACTCGATAACCCTCTGTCGTCGCTAAAGACTGGATCGCAGAGCGGAGCGAGGGGCTGGGAATAGGGCATGCGGCGCGCGACACGAGCCCGCTCGCCTGGAAGCCCGCTCGCCTGGAAGCCCGCTCGCCCGGAAGCCCCCTCGCCCAGAAGCCCGTTCGCCTGGAGACTGTTCGCCCAACAGCCCGCCCGCCCGGAGACAACTCGCCCAGAGACCTGTCGCCCGGAAGGCCGCTCCCCCGAAGCCCGTACGCCCGCTTACGGGGCGCCAGGCAGGCGGGATGCAAGTGCGTTGGGGCGCCAGGCAGGCGGGATCCAAGTGCGTAGTAGCAGAGGAGGAGGAGGAGGAGGAGGAGGAGGAGGAGGAAGAGGAGGAGGAGGAGGAGGAGGAGGAGGAGGAGGGTTCCGATGACGACGAGGGGCTCCGAGGAGGAGGAGGAGGAGGAGCGGAGGAGGAGGAGGAGGAGAAGGAGGAGGAGGAGCAGGAGGAGCAGGAGGAGCAGGAGAACGAGGAGGGGGAGGGGGAGAAGGAGGGGGAGGTGGAGGGGGAAGTGGAGGCGGCGGGCGGCTGCGCCTGGCAGGTCGGGCGGGCCCGTGTCTCTTCTGCATCTCCTAGTGGAGCCGTCTTGGGGGCGACGGAGCTTATGGAGGACTGGTGCGTTCGTGTGTGTGTGTGTATTGGCGACGGAGGCTTTGGAGTCATGGGTGTTGGTTGGAAACAGAGACTGTAGCAACGTGGCGCGCGCGCGTGTGTGTGTGTGTGTGTGTGATAGTGTGTGTGTGTGCGTGTGCTTGTGCGTGTGCGTGTGCGTGTGCGTGTGCGTGTGCGTGTGCGTGTGCGTGTGCGTGCGCGTGCGCGTGCGCGTGCGCGTGCGCGTGCGCGTGCGCGTGCGCGTGCGCGTGCGCGTGCGCGTGCGCGTGCGCGTGCGCGTGCGCGTGCGCGTGCGCGTGCGCGTGCGCGTGCGCGTGCGCGTGCGCGTGCGCGTGCGCGTGCGCGTGCGCGTGCGCGTGCGCGTGCGCGTGCGCGTGCGCGTGCGCGTGCGCGTGCGCGTGCGCGTGCGCGTGCGCGTGCGCGTGCGCGTGCGCGTGTGCGTGTGCGTGTGCGTGTGCGTGTGCGTGTGCGTGTGCGTGTGCGTGTGCGTGTGCGTGTGCGTGTGCGTGTGCGTGTGCGTGTGCGCGTGTGCGTGTGCGTGTGCGTGTGCGTGTGCGTGTGCGTGTGCGTGTGCGTGTGCGTGTGCGTGTGTGCGTGTGCGTGTGCGTGTGCGTGTGCGTGTGCGTGTGCGTGTGCGTGTGCGTGTGCGTGTGCGTGTGCGTGTGCGTGTGCGTGTGCGTGTGCGTGTGCGTGTGCGTGTGCGTGTGCGTGTGCGTGTGCGTGTGCGTGTGCGTGTGCGTGTGCGTGCGTGTGCGTGTGCGTGTGCGTGTGCGTGTGCGTGTGCGCGTGTGCGTGTGCGCGTGCGTGTGCGTGTGCGTGTGCGTGTGCGTGTGCGTGTGCGTGTGCGTGTGCGTGTGCGTGTGCGTGTGCGTGTGCGTGTGCGTGTGCGTGTGCGTGTGCGTGTGCGTGTGCGTGTGCGTGTGCGTGTGCGTGTGCGTGTGCGTGTGCGTGTGCGTGTGTGTGTGTGTGTGTGTGTGTGTGTTGGAGACGTCGTTTTCTCTTCACCGCCAGCTGTAGCTCCTTGCTGGCCCCCCAGTTCAGTTGAATACAGGCTGTGCCGGCGCTGCTCCCCCCCCCCCCTGGCGCTGCCCCCTGCCGCCGCCGGCAGCTCTCAGTGGCCCGGCTTCCTCTCCCGCCGTCGCGCTGGTGCTCCTCCTCCTCCTCCTCCTCCTCCTCCTCCTCCTCCTCCTCCTCATCCCGTGCATTACGGCCTCAATTTGCATACAGCGGTTCCACATGTTGCTATTCCGCCGGAGCAGTCGACCTCTGCCCAGCCGCCGACGCAAAAAAGTGTGTTGGAGACGTAGGCTGTGGAGAACCAGGTGTTGTTTTGGAGGGGGCAGCGGAGTACTGTGTGTGGTGTTGGTGGGCGGGACAGGCGGGTCGGGCGGAACGGGCGGCGGGCTGCGGCGGCGGGTTGATCGGATTTGTTCGTACAAAAGAAACTCTTAGAGAAACCGCCTGGGAGACGGAGCCTGTGGAGTACTGGTCTGTGCGTGTGTCTGTTGGCGATGGAGGCCGTGGAGTACTGGGTGCTGTGCTGGAGGCGGAGGCCGTGGCGTACCCGGTTGCGTGCTTGAGACGCAGGCTGTGGAGTACCCGGTGCTGTGTTGGAGACGGAGGCCCTGGAGTGCTGGGTGTGGTGTTGGAGAGGCGGGCGGGGCGGGTCGGGCGGGCGGCGAGCGCTCGGGTTGCTTTGGAACGAGTCCTGCGGAGGCCGTGTTGGAGAAGCAGGCTGAGGAGTACAGGGGTGCGTGTTGGAGAGGGAGGCTGTGGAGTACTGGGTGTTGTGTTGGAGACGGAGGCTGTGGAGTAGTGGTATGTGTGTGCTTGGGCCAGCAAAATTGGAATACTGGGCGTTGTGTTTAAGGTTGTGGAACGCTGGGTGTTGCGTTGCAGAGGCGAGCGGGGCGGGCGGCAAGCGGCGGCGGACGACAGGCGAGCTCAAGTATTTCGTTGAACTCCCAAGAAGGCCGTGTTGAGAACGGAGGCTGTGGAGTACTGGTGTGTGTGTGTTGTGTTGAAGGCAGAGGCTGTTGAGTAGTGGAAGTGTATTAGAAACAAGAGGCTTTGAAGTACCCGGTTGTGTGCTGGAGACGGTATTGGGTGCTGCGTTGGAGACCGAGGCTGTTGAGTAGTGGCGTGTGTGTTGGAGACAGAGGCTGTAGAGTACTGGGTGCGGTGGTGGAGAAGCGAGCGGGGCGGGCGGCGACGGTCGTCGGGCGGGCTCGGGTTTCTTGATGCAAATGATGAAGCCGTGTTGGAGATAGGGCCTGTGGAACACTGGAGTGTCTCGGAGACGGAGGCTGTGGAGTACTGGGTGTTGTAGTTGTAGACGGAGGGCTGTGGAGTACAGGGGTGTGCTGGAGACGGAGGTAGTGGAATGCTGGGGTGTTGACGGGCGGCGGACGGCGTCGGGCGGCGGGCTTGCTCGAGCTTATAATCCAACCCCCCTAAGGAGGCCGTCTTGGACACGGAAGCTGTACAGTACTGATGTGTGTGTGTGTTGTGTTGTGTGTTGTGTGTGTGTGCCTCTGTTGTGTGCGTGTGTATTATGAGCATGTTCTTAGGGTGGAGGGCTCAAGGTGCACTGCACATGGGCTTTCGCACCTCCAACATCAATCCGTCTTGTGATTCACCTTCTGCAGATTCAAGCCTCGAACATGAATCGAACCAGCACTTCAGATTTAATCCTTTGCCCTCCATCCACAAGAAATGCTCGGGTATTGTGTGTTGTGTGTTGTGTGAGTTGTGTGTTATGTGTTGTATGATGTGTGTTGTCTGTTGTGTCTGTGTGTGTGCGTGCGTGCTTGCGTGCGTGCGTGCGTGCGTGCGCGCGTGTGGTGAATGTGTGTGTGTGTGCGTGCGTGTGTGTGTGTTGTGTGTTGTGTTGCTGTGTGTG